TTCCTCATTTCCCTCACAGACTGAAGAGCTGTGGTTCAGACTGGACTCCCCCCCCCCCCGCCCCCACCATTCCTGGCATCTCATGAAGCTGGAGATGGTCATCTTCAGACCAAGTAAAATACTATTTATTGTATTCAGGAACTCCTAATCTTTATAAAATTGGGTGCTTTTCAGGATCACGGAGATGTTTATCTTCCCACCTAAGGGATTTGCTTAAAACTTAGATTTGATAACATTATTTCATTCCAGGGTAGTAGCAAGAAAATTACCTAAGATGTACAATTTTGTGGTTGGTCTACTCACAGCAGTCAGTAAATGTGGACCACAAAGCAAGAGGACTAAGACTTTTCTTGGTGCATTTCATTGTTTTTTAGCACCTCCTAGGTTTTAGACACTGGAAATGCTAGGTAAGACATAGTTTCTGCCCTTTGGGAGCTTACGGAGTCTAATTATTTGAAAGTCCAAACCACATGCTTAGGTTGCCCACAGAGACTAAAGATTCCTGTGCAGCAAGATTCAACTGCTGGGAATCTGGGGTTGAGCCTGAATGCGCCATTCAGGCAGGGGAAACTGTTATTCAAACGGCACAGAGACACGGTGGGCATTGCGTTGTGATAGCTGGTGTCCAGCTCATCGTGAGAGAGCCAGCACCATATGGCCGGCCTCACCGAGGTCGTCGGGGCTCTGTCTCCAGCCTGTGGTGGCATCTCAGGTAGTCTAAGTAACTAACCATTAGTTCATTTTTTTCTTTCCCAGATAAGGTTGAGTCATCCCCAGGTGATCCCATGATGAGCAGACGGTACCTTCTGGGGTACCATCCTATCAAGTGGAGCTATAGCAGAGGTTATCACAGCTCTGAGTCACTGCTGCTTTCGGTGATGACTGTTTCCTTTGGTTGCTGGCCAGTATCATCCTCCCTGCTTCTCTTCCTCCCTGCTGGACCAGCCATTGCTTAATCAGGCACACGGGAGGAGATGCCAGTCAGAAAAGCCAAAGCCTACTGGCCTAGTCGCTGCTTACTTTCTCTATCAATGATGCCCCCCTCCCAAAACAATAATGCACAAGGGCAAGGTGGTGGAAAGACCCCAGAGACCACTCACTATAGGCTGGCCTAACTTCAGAAGCTACTTTTTTAATAGCCATACAAGAAGATCAGACCATTTTCTGGCTTGGCTCCTGTGTGAAATTCAATCCAGAGCACACTTCACCTTCCATTTGGTCTCTAGCTGTAACCCACAACCATACTGAGAGTCCTTGGCTATACTCCAGATCGAGGACCAGAAAAACCATGCTAAGTTCGCAGCAGACTTGGTATGGGTATGTCTGACTATATTCTTACGCCTGTTGTCTCACATGCCTCTTTAAGACTTCAGTTTTGCCCCATAGTTGGTGTCATTAATCCTGTTTGGAATTTGGGGTGTAAGTTTGCTTCTAAATACTGGGATTCAGAGGCCTGGAACAGGGAGGTGTGACGAGCTAAACCAGCCAGCTAAGAGTCTCTATTTCCTTTCTTGCTGACACATTTTGTTCTCATTGATTGACTGGTATCTGTCAAGTTATTTTACTGGTTTTCACGGTGGGCACTGTGGTTTGGAGAGATTTTATTATGAGTTTAACTATGTTCCAAGCACTTCTTTGAGTACTGGCTTTAGAGTGGTAAATACATAATACAAAAATCCCTACCCTCGTGGAGTTTCAAGTCTGGGATGGAGATGGTAACAAAAGAAGTAAAATAATAGGTTGAACTATAGGATGTGCCCATTTTTATAGGTCAAAAATGGTCAAACATTGGAAGTTTCATATGATTCAAAGAAATATGTTCTATGTTAGTAATAAATGCTAAGGAGCCATAAAGCAAGGAAAGGGGGGAGGTAGGTGGTTGGACTTTTAAGTAGAGTGGAATGGAAGACCACACCCACAAGGTGGCACTTGACCGTGGCCTAAACGCTGTCTGGAAGGAAAGCACTGCAGATAAGAGGAATAGCGGGTGCAAAGGCTTGAGCATGGCTGGTACGGATGTCCAAGGAAAAGCCCTCTCGCTAGTGAGGCTGGAGCAGAGAGCACAAGGGTGAGAAAGGCAAAGGTGAATTTGAATAGGTAATAGGTAGGCGGGTCATAGGGCCTTGAAGGCCAAGGAGACAGAGAAAGCTGGATTTTACCCTGAGATGGGGAACTTTAATGGGTTTTTTCTCACTTTTACTAAGAAGCAAAAAGAATCTGTTTGGGTAGGGTTTTATGACTAAGGAATGCTTATTAGGGCCCAGGAAACCACCAAGGCCCAGGCTCCTCATAAGCTGCACTGGGCCCGACAGCAGTGGAGTCAGGACGTGGTGTAAGGTAAGGACTGACTGTGGCAGTCACTGGAGAGGCAACCTGAATTGTTCAACTTACTGAATTCCTTTGGTAGAGAGCCTTTGTCTAAATACTAGAGAGATGAAAAATGGGATTTTTACATTTTTATTTATGTTTGCTCACCCAAAGGCCTGTTTTCTGTCTCTCATGGAGACGTAGGTCTTGCATTTTCATGGCATCAGTTGTGTTAATGACAATCCAATGAGTGCTCGGAGGAGAGGTCACCAGCCAGGGCAAGGTAGACAGTGAGGTTTCCTCCCTCTGAGAATCTGGATAAGGCACTCCTGGTGTTTGTGTAGGCTGGCTGCCTGTGGTTGCAGCCCAGACCCCCTCCACTGGGGCTTGCAGACATACCCAAGCCCACTATTGATTACCCTCCCACCCGGACTGCCCTGTGGGCTTGTCAATATTCAAGCTGAGGCTCTGACAAACTCTGTGGTAAGGAAAGTTTCCCTGCTGTCCTTATTCACAAACTGATCGGCCTTTGGCTACCACAGGATTTTAAGATGGGCTGAAGCCCCTCGGGAAGCTTAGCTGAGCTACTGGAAAGGGGAACAGCCCGGAGTGTGGAGGGTAGTGCTGGAGTGAACGTTCACGTGCCAGAGAGTGCCTCTGAATCCTTACGGAAGTCCCAGCCATGGTACCTCACTGTTTCCCGGGTGGAAACTGAGGACCCGAGGGAGGAGACTACCGAAGTGCTGTCTACCTCAGGTGAGGTTTCCTAGGGAAGGAGATGGGGATTAATCAGGCTTTATCGTAGGCCTTAGAAATACAGAAGACTTATTAGCTCAGTAGATTTAGATCTCCCCAGCTGAGTAAGATATGTTCAGATGGAGACTAGTTTATTCTTCCAAGGGTATTAAATTATAGCTTGGGTTCTCCCCGTCCCAAATTATTACACCTTTCAAAATACACCCTCAAAATAGACCTGATTTGCTTATTCATAAACGGTAAACTTTAAACTGCTTGTGTTTATATATGGGAGAGGTCTGCCAAAGGCTCTAACCTGTTATCAGTTGCTAGTCTGTGTTCCAGTTTTGTTAAGGCTGTTACTGTTATGGATGTATAAAGTATCTTTTTACACACTTTAATATCCACAACCACTTTATGAGTTAGGGATTAGCCAGTTTTACAGGTGAAGAATCATACCCAGAGGTCACCCAGCTCATAAATGGCAATAGTTTGGATTCAAACCTCTATGGTACCTACGTCCGAGCTCATAACTACTAACCCACCCACCTCTTAACTTAGCAAGTCTTTGTTAAAACCTTGCATAATCGAGTACCAACACATTCTCCACTGGCGGTCTTATTCTTGGGGGAATTAGCTCCGTGCTCCCAGTCCTTTCTAACAGCACCTCTCTGGGATGCCTCAGTCGGGTGTCCTTTCACTTGATGCTTCTAACCCTGGAGTGCTTTTCCCTACCTACTGCCCAGCACTCTGACCTATGCAGAAATAAAGGGTTGCAGGGTTAGAAAGACTTCTTTTTTGAAACACTATTCTTCAGACAGTGAACATATGAACCACTTCCCTATATTCCATCCCTGCTAGAAAGTCCCCTAAGGCCTCCAGAGTAGAACAATGGGATTAATTTGGGAAGTAGGGAAAGTCCGATCTGAACTGCCAGGCTTGGCAAGAAGATGCCGTCCTAAGGCGAAGACAGCTATGACAGTTGTGACCTGTGGGCTGAAACACTGTTCCTGATCATCCTTCAAGCCTGATAGCACCACAGATTCAGTCATGTTCTTTCTGTGAGAGAGTTCCTATAAATGACTTAGAAGCTTTGGTGTGGTAAACCCAGAGAACTTCAGGAAAGGTAGGAAAAAAGAGAATTTAGAACCACGATTAAATTATGAGGATAGAATTGCTACTGCAAGGTGTCTTTAAAAAAAAAAAAAAGCTTTTGGGGGTATAAAGTTAGCAATCGATTTATATTAGGTATCATTTTGTGGAGAATACCATTTTTCTCCTGCCACATAAAATATAAGCCATCATCTTGCAACTGTTACAGCACAAAAGCAGCTGTAGGCAAAGGTCATAAACATATGGGCATGGGGTACATTCCAGTAAAACTTTATTTACAGGGGCGCCTGGGTGGCTCAGTGGGTTAAGCGTCTGCCTTCGGCTCAGGTCATGATGCCAGGGTCCTGGGATCGAGCCCCGCATCAGGCTCCCTGCTCGGCAGGGAACCTGATTCTCTCTCTGCCTCTACCCCTCTGCCCCCCGCCCCCCCGCCAAGCCTGGGCTCTCTCACTTGCTCTCTCTCAAAATCTTAAAAAACAAAACAAAACAAAAAAACCTTTACAGAACCAAGTCCACGTTTCACTTGTGGGGTCCTTAGTTTGCCAACCTGTGCCTTAGACCAAAAGGGAAATGCTCACTGTAATAAGAGTTGTGTGGGAAGAACTAGCAACCAGTTTAATTTGCTTTTGTAGAAGAGAAATTATGAATGGATTCACATTCCAACATATACAAAAGAGACTAAATATATTTCTAAGAAAGTGATGGTATTTCTCGATCAGGTCAGATTAGTTGCATAAAGTGGTCCCTGCTGCTCCTACCAAACGGATGACAGCCTCTCTGTACAGTTGCTCACGTTACACTGTAAAGCCGTGGGGGTTTTCACCTGTCCTCTCTTTGCCTCGCAGGCTTGTTCCTGATCCTGGGTCTGATACTCTACCCTGCTGGCTGGGGCTGTCAGAAGGCCGTAGGCTACTGCGGACACTATGCGTCGGCCTACAAGCCTGGAGACTGCTCCTTGGGCTGGGCCTTTTATACCGCCATTGGAGGCACGGTCCTCACCTTCATCTGTGCTGTCTTCTCCGCACAAGCAGAGATTGCAACCTCCAGTGACAAAGTACAGGAAGAAATCGAAGAGGGGAAAAACCTTATCTGCCTCCTTTAGTTTGGAAGAGACGTAAATGCCCTTTTTCTTCCTGTGTCACCTTGTGAAAGAGTACCCCTCTGGTTTCCTCGTCTGAGTCAAGTGAAGAACTAGCCTTTACCTACCAAAGCCTACATTCCACGGCCCCAGGCCTTAACAGGACCAGTGCGAGGCAACATCCAGCTAAGTGACTGCGCTCAAGGGCCACAGTTCCAGCTGTCAGAGATGGAACAGGAAACTACTGCATGAACCCTGACCTGGAGTTGACGAGTCTGTCTGACTCCATCTCCTCCAAAGCTCATGAAGGATGATGATCTAAATCATTAAGGCAGCAGTTCCTCTGGTAACAGGAGACTGTGAGCTAGATTTGCAGGCTATGTTGAGATGTATTTCTGCCACAAAGTTGCAGGCCTGTAAGCATCACTGCTCCAGAATGGGGTTTTGGGGTTGGTGTTTTTGTCTCCTCCTAGTTCTTGCGGGTCGTCTCAGAGACTAAAGTGAAGCCTGCATACTTACTGGGGATAGGTAATGTGTTCCAGGGCATAGTAAGACACTGCCTCTTAGGACCAAAGGGGTCAGCAGGTCAGTGTGGAATCCCACTGTGGAACTGATTTTAGGCTGAATTCCAGGGTAAGGTTGGATCATTTGAACTGTCCCTCCAAGATTTTAGAAATCTGAGTAAGAATAAGGACCTATATGATCATGGGAATAGAAGTAGAAAAATCCTGCTAGGGAAGAGAAATTCATGCCACTGCCCAGCAGTCAGGCTAGCACCAGTACCGGCCCAGTCTCCTCTTCTAAAGGAGATCCCATATTTTTCTCCTAGGGTTAGGATCGAGCTTTGACTGCCAAAGGAAACCTCACCCTATTTCCTCATTCCAGGAACAGAGGTCTCCAAGCCAACTGCGGCTCCTTCAGATACTCACTGAGAGAACTTGCCAGAATCTCAGCACTTGCCAGGAGACCTTTTCCCACTGTTTGGTAACCATGTGGTAGTCAGCTGTATTTCCAACCCCAGCAGCAATGGAATGACCTTTGCAGGAAAAAAAGGAGCTAGTCACGGGAGTTCAGTTTCTCCAGTTACTAGTGTTGTTTCTGAAAGCAGACTGAAAGAACATTAAAATTACTTCAGTGGGTGAGCTGCATCAAGCCTTCATACCCAGAGAAGCACAGAGTGGAAATTTAATGCAAAAATGAGAGCTAGACCAAGCTCATAGCACCTGCCTATGCCTGTTTACAAAAAGAATGGACCACCACTATTAAAAAGGATTCAGGAGCTTATAATCTAGTTTCTATAAATTACCAATAAAATTGATGCAGAAAAATGGTATTCACCACCACCTCAAATTTACTTTGGAATGATCTCAGTGGCAAGCACCTAGCTGGGTATTACCGAAGCTTCAGAATTGCAGAATGATACAGAAACACTCCTTCACAGTTTAGCAAGTTTGGAGTGGACCCACAAGATTTCTGGAAGAATTAAAAGTACAGGTCTATTTTGGCTTACGAATCTGTTCCCCTAAGAGCTTGCTTTGTTTTGAAAGCTTAACAAATAATGACTTTGCACCTTCTTTGGGTAAGGTATTGTATGCTAAGTACCACCAGGCATAGAAACCTGATTCAGATTTTACAACACGGCCTGAAGTGAATCATCTCCAGGCTGAGTCTAAAACCATGCCTTGGTGCAAAACAAACAGTTGCTTTATATGTAGAGGGAACGGAGCAACTAAACTTTTATTCCCTTCTTTGGGGCCTATACCACAAACCACTTTATCACCCAGATTAAGAGCTAAGGGCAAGAGGGGTGGTGGTATAGAACCAGGTCTTAATCAGTTCACCTTTCTTAGACCAAAGGTCAGAGTAAGCAAGATTTAAGTCCCCACAGACATAGGGTATGGAAGCCGATGGACAGGGCTCCTGTCCCTGCTGTGTATTTTTATGTTCTAACCAACTCCCAGTGCCCACCGTAACTACTTTTTAAATCTTGGCAGTAATTTTCATTCAAAAAAACAGCGGGGGAGGGGGGATTCCTTTCATCAGCAGTTTTGCTCTACTGTTTTTTTCTGTACAAAATCAGTGTTAGGAAATGGGTTTTCTTAACTCCCTTTTTTTACAGAAAAGTTTAAGTCCTAAGCCCTGAGGACCTTCTGAGAATGGCCATCATTTTTACTACCTGACTGTTCTTTGGCTAAGGTGGTGGCATATCTCTAGAATACCCTGATAAAGCAGTAGTCACAAGTGAAAATGCTACTTCTCTTGGCCAGAAGAAATTCACTTGACTGTTTTTATTCCATTAGTCTGACTGCTACAGATGACAAAGTACATGCACACACATACATCACCCCAAACCACTAAAAACTACTTAAACACTGACTTAATAAGCAGAGCAGAGATGGAATTTCTGTAGCAGAGACAGAGTAAGAACTAATGTTGGGCCTTTTAAACCTTCAGTCCATTAGCCAGGCTTTGGGAAAAATGAAATGTCAAAATCATGCTAGTCTACACCAACCTGTACAGCTGTTTAAAAACCACTGAATATGAGGAATGTATTAGAAATATGTTAAACAAGTGGACTGATTGTTGACCCACATTTTCCTAATAAATATCAATCATCTAATCACCTCAGTCCAAAAATCTAATACACCTGGACCATTACTACTACCAGAAAAGTCTTATTTATTTTTGCCTGCATTTGCGCTTAAAGTTTTGTGATGGGCTGGGCTTCTCAGTGAACTCCCAAGAAGGCAGAAATACTTGCCTTGGATTCTGTGGATTTTTTAAACCTGTGTGCTAATTCAACGATGTTACACTTAATTGTGTAAGGGTTTTTGTACAGTTTTCAAACATCTGTGGTGTAATGATCTTTGTTAAACATGTAAAGTGCCATAGTCTTTTTTTATGTGTAGCATATTTAAAATATATATATGTATATTATACATACACAAGTCTGTGAAAGATGTGCAATAACAAAGGTGTATGTATGTTTTGTTTTTTTTTTGGAAACTGGACAGGAGTCAGAACAGGGATTGTTTCTGTTTTGGCAAAGGAGAGTTAAACATGTTTGCCTTCATGGCCTAGTCATTAACCCATAACAATTTAAATGCTACACAAACCGATGTGAAGAAAAGACTGGTATGAAATCATTTATTCCTGGGTCTACATTAAAATAATCACTAGATTTACGTGAAAATTAAGCCAGCACCAGGCCCAGTTAATGCTAGTCTTTCATGTGAAATGTGAAGCTGCCACATTGCCTTTTCTGTTAGTGTGAAAACTAGTAGCTGGGACATAATCACTAAGGAGCTTTTTCTTAACATGCTTTGATAGACCACGTTAATGCTAGACCACTATTTAAGGGCTGATCTCACACCTTCTTAGCCGTAAGAGTCTGGCTTAGAACAGACCTCTCTGTGCAATAACATGTGGCCACTAGGAATCCCTGGCCTGCATTTCTATTTGGGCAGCGATGACTCCCAAGGGCCAAAAGAGTTAAAGGCATGACTGGGATTTCTTCTGAGACTGTGGTGAAACTCCTTCCAAGGCTGGGGAGGTCATTAGGTGCTTTGGAGGAACTCAGCATCACTTGATATTCAGTAGCCTCTGAGCCAAATAGAAAACTGTATTTACCGCTAATGGACTCAATTTGAGCCTTCAAATTTATGGTTATCCTATTATACTGTAAACTAATACATTGTTTGTCTAGCATTGATTAGGTTCCTGTGCATATGTATTTCACAATGCCCTCCCCTCCCCAGATCGGAATTAAACCAGATTTTGGAAACTCAATCTGATTTTTTCAAGTCTAAGTATATTGGTTTCAACAGAATTACATAATTTTCCCAAGAAAACACCTATTATAACATAAAAAAAAAAAACACCTACCAGTCAACTTTTATGTTAAACACTAACTTATATGTAATATTAATGATGGGGGGGAAATGTTCAGGTATTTTAACTATTCCATTCTTTAGTACATATGTATCTCTAGGTTAGCTTTTTAACTTCAAGATTAAGGACCTATTTCTTTCTTGGAGAAGCATCAACATAAATGGGGAGAGGGGAACTCTCAAATATTATACAAATATCTTAATTTTACAGTAAACTTAAGAAATATGAAAATGTTTCCAAGCATTAAAAACACTTTTTGAAGAAATATGTATAATAGTGACAAAGAAAAAAAGTCAGTTGAAGGACACAGTCTCTTCCAACAAAAATACCAAAATTAAAGCCAGTTCTGGGGGCACCTGGGTGGCTCAGTTGGTTAAGCGACTGCCTTCGGCTCAGGTCATGATCCCGGGGTCCTGGGATCGAGCCCCGCATCAGCCTCCCTGCTCGGCTGGAAGCCTGCTTCTCCCTCTCCCACTCCCCCTGCTTGTGTTCCCTCTCATGCTGTCTCTCTCTGTCAATTAAATAAATAAAATCTTTAAAAAAAAAAAACTGCTTAAAAAAAAGCCAGTTCTGGAGGAGGTGCACATCCACCTTTCCTGAAGTCCTGCCCATAGAGAGCCTCATCAAGAAGCAGAATTCTACTTTAGAAATTCAAAGATGACACTAATAACACTTCTCATAAACTCTTTCAATTCTGCATATCCCATGAAGCACTTATCTGATAGAATAAACAAAAATGGCTCTTTAAAGGCCCGTGACAGCTGAAACTACTTTTATGCTTTGGCTTCTAAAGATACCTGACACCTGCTAAGTTTCTAATAGAAACAAAAATTAAAAGCTGACAAAATTATCCGAATCACGAAAGAAAAAAATTTTCAAAAGAATTATGATCTAGGTAGTCCAAGCAAAATTGGAAATCTTCACTTGCTTTTTCAGCTTTCACATCTTTAATCCAAAAGAGAAAGGACCCTGGCTTTACAGGTCAGCAGAGGCTGGGAAACGCTCACATGTGCTTCGCATTTCATCCTTAGTTTTTACTTGGCAATTTTGCTACTGGATCAACTTCCCACAATTGATCTTCCTGGGACACTGCATTCAACTTACTGCTAGCTCTCCTTAAAGTCTTTCCTTAACATTAAACCACTTAAGAACAATCTTACTATCAAAAAATAGGACATTTATTTTAAGTGGGTTATTTCAATAGTTTCCATTTATTCACTACCCTTTCAACCCTCAAACACTAAAGAATAATGGCATCAAAGCCAACGTTTAGCCTACTCTTCAGAGCAACAAGAACCAATAATTCCCTTCTCTCAGAGTCCCTATCTATCAGCTGCTTAATCATTTGGCTGCTGTCCCTTCTATCTTCTTCCTTGCAGCTTCTTCCTCACCGTGGAGAGTTCTGCAAGATAAGTCTTGAAGCCATGAACTGCTCTTTTTTGCTGAGGTACACAGGATGTAGATAAAAGCATAAATAAGTAAGAGGAAGCAGTAAAACCACATGGAAAAGAAAAGTCAAGTAACATGTAGATATTAGCACCTCTCTGGCTTTTTATAGTCAAATATTCTGAAAAATCTAACACCTTTAGATTGTTGAACCTACAGGCAAGCAGTCAACCAAGTGCCTATGGGGGAAACCACTTTGACCTATTCTCAAGAGAAGAAAGCCTGAATTAAGGCAGGTGATGGTGAAGACCATGAGATGAATTAGAGATGCTTTGGAAAAAGAATGGACAGTTTGGTGACTCGTTAGAAGTGGGGGGCTTGAGGGTGGGAGGAGAGGAAAGGAAAGGAAAGAATCCAGAATGTCTCCCAGGTATTTAGCTTGGGCAGACTGGGCGGAAAGTGATGGTAATCAGCAACATCAGAAATCAGAGAGGAGCAGAAACAGTATAAAGGTGGAAAGGTTCGGCTTAGGCTGCCAGAAGTCCTGTGTGCAGCCAGGAATATAGTCTGGAGAGAAGACCAGGTTAGACATAGAGATTTGGAAGTCATCAATATGCATGACAGACAAGAAGAGTTAATTAGGGTGTACTTTCTATGCACATACTGTGTTAAGCATTAAATTCATTTATTCATCAAAACCCTATAAACAGGAATTATCCTCATGTTACAGATAAGTTGTTATTCAAGTAACTGAACTAAACTGAATTTACCCTAGGTTAAAAAGCTAGTAAGTGGCTTTCCAAGCCTATATTCTCAAACAGTGGTAGCTTCCTTGTACCTAAAATGTCCATGATGAAAAGAAGGCCAATACAAATCCTGGAGGAACACCAACATCTCTGTGTAGTTAAATCTTGGAATAACTTCTAAGTACAACTCCAAAAAGACCACACCATAAGATGACAACTGATGAAAAATGCTCTTTTCTCCCTTTCAGAGAAAGACCTGCTAGTTTTTCTTACCTTAGAAGGTCTCAACTCACTCAATCCTGTAAAGTGCCCCTAAAAATTCATCAGGATATATGACTGTAGTTAAACAGATGATTATTTGATAGTTATTATAAATAATCTCTCATCCAGGGTAAGCAGCTATTATTAGCTAAAAAGCCTATTTTCTTCGTAGTTAACCTAATAAGGATTTGACTTCAACTAAAGTTTCTCCAAACATACACACAAATGCCAAAGACTATTTGGTAATGGTACAGCAGGTACTCACCCACATGTTGTAGAACTAGGCCTTGGTGTAGAGACTTCAAATACATGCTGTAACTTTTTTTCCTTGGGTACTGACTTTTTTCCTAGGGTCCACTGTCCTGAAAGGATGGATATGAATTATGGATATGAATTATGGGTATGAACGTGGAAAGATGGAAAGGGAACAGAGTTGGAGAGAAGTGATACCATGGGTACCACATGGCAGAGGCAGCCCCATATGTAGCAGGAGTCAGAGAACACGGGTCTAGCTGCCCCTTCACCAGCACTCACTGAATGGGATAATTTTCTACTCATCTCTAAAAATGGGACCCATAATAGAAATTATTTCATAGGTTTGGTGTGAGGATTAAGTGATGTATTAAAGCAGTTAGTATACTCTCTGGTATAAAGTCCTCAATAAGTAAAAGTTACTAGAAGAAAATTAAGAGAATGTTCTGTCTGCCCAGACTGTCATTTAATCTTAAAAATTAAGACTTGTGCTAAAAACTTGTAAAGAATAACATAACTTGTTAAAACCAATCTAATTTTACCGAGAGAGGCTCAATGGATTGGCTACCTGAGGCCACCATTTCTTTTTCCATCCTAATCATCTTTAACTTAGTGCTTTCAGGAAGAGGAAGATTTCTCTGTGGATGCAGTATACATGGTCACTCCCATTTAGCAAAACCAAAAAGATAAAGAGGTTAGTGTGACTTAGCCCATCATCTATGGGACAGCAGAATCTAAGAAAACAAACCTAATTGTCAAAACCTACTGGTAAGCAAAGACTTTAGAAAAGGAACATGCAATGTTGGCAGAGTGTGGATAGAGAAGCCACTGCAGACAATACTGATGGGGCATAAACTGATAAAATTTTCTGGAACAATTTGGCAGTGCACATCAAGGGTCTTTAAAAAATATGCTTGTTTAGGGCACCCGGCTGACTCAGTCGTTAGAGCGTGTCACTCGATCTTGGAGTTTTAAGTTCAAGCCCCACACTGGGGGTAGAGTTTAAAAAAAAAAAATGCTTAAGTTTTGACCCAACAATTTGTCCTAAAGAAAGAACAAAAGGCTAAGCCCCAAACTTAGGAACAAATACATCCCTGATAAATTATTTTTTTAAGATTTTATTTATTTATTTGAGAGAGAGAGAGAGAGACCCCAAGAGGGGGTAGGGTCAGAGGGAGAAGCAGACTCCCTGCTGAGCAGGGAGCTCGATGCGGGACTTGATCCCAGAACTCCGGGATCATGACCTGAGCTGAAGGCAGTCTCTTAACCAACTGAGCCACCCAGGCGCCCCTCCCTGATAAATTATTAATACAAAAACCTGAAAATCAGAACTTAATGGAGTAACAAGAAGAACTGAAAACAATTAACAAAATGGCAATAAGTATATAACTATCAATAATTACTCTGAATGTAAATGGACTGAATTCTTTAATCAAAAGACATAAGAGTGGCTGAATGTGGGGTAAAAAAAAAAAAGACCCAACTTTATGTTGTCTGCAAGAGATTCACTTCAGATGTAAGGGACACACACAAATTGAAAATAAAACTATAAAAATAACCATGTAAACATAACCAAAAGAAAACTGGGGTAATAATACTTACATGAGACAGAATAGACTTTAAAATAAAGACACTAAAAAAAAGACAAAGAAGGGCATTACATAATGATAAATGGGTCAATCCAACAGAAAGACATAATATTTACAAATATTTATGCACCCAACACATGAACATCTAAATACATAAAGCAAATATTAACAGATCTAAAGAGAAAGAGACAAAATAACACAATGCAATATAATAATAGTAGGACATTACAGTAGGACATTTAACGAATGGATCATCCAGACAGAAAAACCATTAAGTAAACACTGGCTTTGAAAGATACATTAGACCAGATGGACTTATTAGATATATACAGAGCAGTCCATCCAAAAGCAGCAGAAAACACATTCTTTTCAAGTACACATGAAACGTTCTCCAGGATAGATCATATATATGTAAGGTTACAAAAACAATTCTTAATAAATTTAAGAGAACAATTCATATCAAGCATCTTTTCCAACCACAGTGATATGAAACTAGAAAGCAATTACAAGAATAAAACTGGAAATTCACAAAAATGTGGAGATTAAACATGCAACTGTGAACAACCAATGGGTCAATAAAGAAATCAAAGGAGAAATCAAAAATATATTGAGATAAAAAATGCAAACACAACACACCAAAATGTATGTGATGCAGCAAAAACAG